TTACACCCCTCTCCCCCAATAAATGGAACCATTGCACCTACCTGACCTTTCACCCTGGGTGCCTTTTGCCTTCAGAGAAATGTTGATCATTCCACAGTTTGGAAAATACAAAAAAAAAAAAAAAATCGTTGCAGAAAATTAACAGGAGTTGTGCATTTTCCATGGGAGTCTGTGACATTTAGAAACATTTGGCAGCCCATACAATGGAGTATCCAGCTCTTGGAAAGGTTCTGACTGCCAGTCCCTGGATTGCAGGGACTCAGCACTGCCAAGAACACATACTCAGTTTTCAAGGCAAAAGAAGGCTACCATTGCTTCATTCAGTTTCTCCCTAAGAGGGAGCCTTAAAAAATCCCAGTAAACTGGCACAAGAGTTAGGGAAGTGCATGATAGTGATGCATAGCAGGCACATTTCATATATGTATCTTGTGACATATGAGATTAATTCCTGACACAAAGATATGTTGAGAACACTTTAACAAAAAAAATTCTGTATTTCTCTCCCCCTTCAGCTTGGGATAAATTCTATGTTTCCAGGGGTGGAGATGGGGATATGTACATACTTGCACGCAAATCTACTATTTCCCTCCACTCCCCTTTAAACAAAAATGCTTAATTGAACCATAATCAAGGAGGGAAGAGGTAGCAGTACTTGTCGGAGGAAATTACATTGAGTTTACTAGGGGAAAATGGTTTTAATTGTTCCTGGAAAATAGACTCTGCTCATCCAATTAGTGTGGCCTTGCTTTTCAATTAGCATGTGAAGCTCGTGGAAGGGGGAAGAAAGTATCCTCCCATCAGGAGGTGTTTAAAAACTACTTGGCATTTGGTGCCAACTTGTGTATTACAAAGAGCAAAATCACACTCTTCAGAAGTACTTTTATCCATATGGCCTCTCCACTGTTCACTGCAATGTGATTGATTGGCTTGCCAGGGCTAAACAGGAGCTCCCAAAATGGTGCTGACTTTGAAGCTTCCCTGCCAGAAGCAGAAGTAGCTATATGACCTGAAACTCCCAAAGAAAGGAGAGTTATGGAGAAAACACTCAGATTGTGAGTTTGATTAACTAGGGAAGAAGGATCACATGCATCTGATGAAGTGGGTCTTTGCCCACGAAAGCTTATGCTCCTACACTTCAGTTAGTCTATAAGGTGCCACAGGACTCCTTGTTGCTTTTAGGGAAGAAAGGAAACTGAGGCAGCAGCCCCTCCAACCACCTAAACCAGGCCAGGTAAGCCCTACTACAATTTCCCAACAAATCAATGACAGATTAGAACTCCAGACTTAACTCCCAGCCCAGTGCTGTAACCAGCAGAAAAAATTGCTTCTTTCAATATATAGTTAT